AGAATAAAAAACAATGGCGACAAGCTAAAGTATTTGGATTACTATTTAATCAAATAGCTATTGCCGCTTCTAGTGTAAGCAGCGTCGCGTGAGTTAATCTGATGTCACGGATCAAAACAAGCGGAGGATATAATTAACAGCGACGTTGTACTAGAGGCGATGTCTATTCTAGTGTCATTCATATAGTCACAAATATCGAGAGTGGGTGACACGAATTAAGTGGCCACGAGTCTATTTGCGTCTCGGCGATGTGACGACTTGTTTGTTTTTCTCGATCGCTTCGAATATATTCGCTAATCTGTTGTACACTCGAACAATAGAGCGACTCATTTACATTGCAAATTAAATCGACGACTGTTAAGACACGTTCGGCGATTGTAACTGCTGAAGTGATCGCTTGAACAACTGTTTCGTTCATTAGGAAGTTTTTAAAATACTATATGGTACATATTTAGTTTTATTAACTAAAAGTCTACAGTAATGTCTGTGTTTGTTTTACTAATATAGCTGCGGTGATATGCTATTTCTATCAACTGTTTAGTGATGTAAGCAAATAAGTAAAATTAATATTAGTGTTGGTCTACAATCGGTTACTTTTTGGTAGGTTGGAATATTTAGTATCGAAGCCAATGCAAAGAACCGCACCGTTATTATTTGTAATATAGTTTTGACATTGATATTATCTTATTCATACTGTAATACCGTTGTCGTCTTTTGTTTTTGTGCATTGTGAATAACTGTGTAAAACAATAATCAAGACTAGTTTACAAATAAGTGGATATTTTTATTTTTCTTTAGTTTTCGGTTTACAAATTGACAAGTTGATGTACAACTCTTTTCTAACAAACTAAAAACTCTTTTCTTATAAACTCTTTTCTGTACAACTCTTCTCTTTTCTTTTTTTCTTATTCGAGTTTTTAATATTATTTTTTTATAAAAATCGAGATTTTATATTTTATCAATTTTATTATACCGATATTAGAGAATGCGATTTGGTGAATACTGTGGCAACTTTTGACATAAAATTTATGTTTTATCTTAATAAAAGTTTATGTTTCCAAATGCTTTTTATTGCGAATATATTACCGTTCTATACAAAACGAATAAATCTTCAGATCTTTAATCACGAAGTTGAAAAAACAATCAACAAAACCGAGGCGTTAAGCGCAGTGTGACTTTTTGTAGGTAATAAAAATACCTGAAAATATGCTCGCCGCCAAATGTTTGTTCCGGACACAATGGACGTTACTACGCCGCTCCTATGATTTACTGTCTTCTAGTTTTTGCGTCTTCATGCCAGATGATGTTTACAACGAATTCCATTTGAATGCTAATGGTATAATGGCATAGAGAACAGACTGGGAAAACTAAGTTCGTAGGTTTGAATTCTTCATTGAAATAATGTAAACTTTAGCCCATTAAGTTACGAACTTAAACGTTTAGTACCTACAGTACCAAAGATTATAACTTTTATTAAAATGAAAGATAATAGTAATATTGATTATTTAGTTACAAATCGTTAAATTTAATTTACAAATAATAATTTACAAAAGGTGTAAATCGTGACGCAAAGAATGTTGGCATAAGAAATCGGTAGCCACTAACACACCGAAGTGGAAAAAATTGCTTGACCAAGCCAAGGCCCACAAAGGGCTGTAGAGCTAAGGAAGAAGAAGAAGAAGTTACAAATCAAATATCTAAGTTAATAATATAGAATGGTATAACTTCTCGAGACGTATGAATGATTTAATTATCATGAAACAGTTTCTATGCAGCAATTAAACTAATTTTAAACAAATATAAGTGCAGGTCATATGCCTTGTGTCAGGGCAGCTGATATTATACAACTTATTGCGCTCGGCGCCATATTCTTGACGCCTACAATCGTTTACAATTTATAACAATCGTAATTATTAATGGAGCGCCAGTTCAACGATATCGTGCTCCAGAACTTATTACACAAGACGATTTCCTCGTAAAAATGCAGCGCACAACGTTGAAGCCACCCACGGAAATAACTTTCGAGAGTTGGCAATGCCATTCGTTAGTGCCGGATCCGCGTCCGCCTCCAAAAAGTGGCGCCAAAACTGACAGATCTGACGGCCTCTGATTAAAATTATTTATAAAGATAAGATACGCGCCGCGTCCGGCCGCGAGTCAACGGCCGCCCGACCACGCATCGCGCCGCAAAAATCATTATTCAGTTTAATTTGCATTTTTACCGGCGATTACCGATACGTGTAGCATAATGTAACGTACTAGTGTACACGTGCCCTTATGATCGATGACTGAATTGTATAAAAATCGTCGTACGCGGTTGTCCTCTAACCGAAAATAAAGCTGTTAGGCGAATGGCCTATTCCAATATCAAAACACTTATCGTTCTTTTTTATTTATACCTGCTGATATTTACTCGCGTGGTATGTAACACTAATAAAAATGTCGTAAACACTTTTTTTTGTCCGACAATTTATTTGATTTGCAAAGATACTTTTAAAACGGTTTTCGATTG